TCCCCCTATGGGGGGGGCTCCACTATCAAAGAACTAGACACATTGATTTGCGTTGAACCTCGCTTTGCGTGGAAAGTTGTAAACCCATGTGAAACCTCACTTCGCATTAAAAAGTGTATGCATAAAACAGTGGCTTCCGCCCCCCCCCCTACGGGGGGGCTCCACTTCCGGAAAAAATAATCTAACCCAAACTTATTTCTAATTTAATTTCTCTCTATCTTTAAAATTCCTCTGTCCATTACATTAATCGTCTGGACTGGACTGAATTACTTGATTTTGGAAATATAGATGAAAAGATAAGAATCTTTAACTCTCAGCTCTTGACCTGCTATAACAGGCATGCGCCGTTAAAGAAACGTTATTTTCGGAACCTGCCTGTTACGTGTCTGACGGATGAGCTACGGGATGCTATGCGTAAGAGGGATCTAGCCAGAAGAGCTTGGCGTAAAAGAAGAGGAAATCATCGCTACAATCTTTTCCGACGTTTGCTTCTATTCTCGTAAGGTCAGCCAAAAGAGCCTACTATTTTACCATTTTTAATCAAGCCAATAACTCTGAAATTTGGTGAAGATTAAAACATTTAGGACTAATCAAGGCCAGAGATGTGGGCGGAAACCTCTCGTGCTCTGTGGAGGAGTTAAATACGTTCTTTTCGTGCGGTTTCGAGGGACTGGACAAGAGAGATCAACATTCGTATTTTACTGATCTACACACTAACAGATCATACAAAATAAAAAACTAAAAAATGATTTTCCTCTAAAAAATAAAAACCTTTAAAAAATCAAAAATCAAAACTAAATATGAAATCAAGTTAACTAGCCAAGTACATAGAAGCAGTTCAGTTTGTAAGAGTTTGTAATTTAAAATAGTATTTGTTTGATAAAATCAGTCTTGCATTTATAGAATTATTGCAATTTGTTGCCGGTTAGAAACTGATAAATTTCTGTTTATGACTTTTTTATGTCAGATTATTGTAAGTGCCTTAAAAATCGTGGCGGCCGTTACGAGGACCACCATGTATATATATACATATAATTTTTATGACAATTATTATTTATAGTTATATTTTGTAATTTATAAATGGGAAAAGAAAATTTGATATATTTTATCCTCTTATGTTACCAAACATTTGCATATTTATATAAGCTTGCCTATATTTATAGAAAATAAACTTTTTCCAAAGCAAAAATTTAGAAATTTAATTTTTGTCGTAAAATATTTATAAATAATGGTTTTATGTATCGAATTAATTTTAATCAATATGAAAATAATTTTTTTATTTGGCTCTCTTTGCCCATTCTTCTCTGTCCATCTCTTTCTTATCCGAGCATACTATATGTGTATTATATATTATCTACATATGTGTATATGTTTGTGTGTATGTAATAGTAACTGAAATTTAGAAATTTAATTTTTGTCGTAAAATATTTATAAATAATGGTTTTATGTATCGAATTAATTTTAATCAATATGAAAATAATATTTTTATTTGGTTGGAGAATATTCGTTTATAAAGATGAGCAATTGTTTTTATTATTACGCGATATTTGTAGCATGCATGTATGTAAGTGATAATTCACATCAGTCACTAAACATTAGTGAGCATAAAGTATTGCTACGGAGAAAGATATAACTATTTCCTTTTTTTTCTTACTTTTGGCACTTGTACAGACACTTGCTCAGTTACACTCATATCTTCTTTCTCTCTTTGCCCATTCTTCTCTGTCCATCTCTTTCTTATCCGAGCATACTATATGTGTATTATATATTATCTACATATGTGTATATGTTTGTGTGTATGTAATAGTAACTGTAAATTTATTAAAATATCATTAATCTTTTGCTTATTTGTATATTTCACTGAAAATTGATTATAATTATTTTGCAATAGTAGTTGTGTCATAATAGTTAGTTAGTCAGAAGCAATCAATTCGTGAGTTGGTTGTTGAAAGAAATATTTCCCACCAAATGCGTTTTGCATGTACGCTTTGGTTGAAGAATATATCCCAGAGGCGATCAATTCGTGAGCTGGTTGTTGAAAGAAATATTTCCCACCAAATGCGTTTTGCATGTACGCTTTGGTTGAAGAATGTATCCCAGAAGCGATCAATTCGTGAACTCCCAGTAAACGCTAGATATTCCTGAAATATTCCATTCGTATTCCAAAAGTTCCGTATATACCGAAATAGTAGAGAAATGTTCACAGAACGTTCAAATAATCGTGAAATATTCAGAATATTCTATGAACACTACTTGTATGAGCAATAAGGAATATTCAGTGTACATTTTGA